AGGTAATTAGATGTCTCTATTTCCAGGTAATCAATTCACAGTATCTCTATAAATACATGCTAATGTAAGATTTCGTTGACTATGTTTCAAAGTAAGCGGCACAATTTATTTGACGGTGATCGCTTAGTACCAGGTGATCTGTGAATTCGTTTGTCTATTTAGAGATATAAACCAATCATGATGCACCGGCGGATTGTTTTCTGTAATGCGGGCTATTAGTGAAAGACAAGATTCTTCGATTGAGATTTTATATTTTACTGTGTACTCTTTGTATGGTATTCTGTAAACTGACTCGATTTGGACATCCGGTATTACTATTTCTATCGCATAGCAGTCATGGACTTTGCTTTTGAGGATATTACCACCGTCCTAACACAATATTGAAATGATTATCACCGCTTATAACTTTTTTTTATTACCCTTGTAGGCAGACAAGCATATGGCCCAACTAATGGTGAGTGGTTACCGTTGCCCATGGACTTCAGCAACGCCAGGGGCAGACCCCAGCCGCTTAATACCTATATAATACCAGATTCTTAATACCTATATAATACATGTCCTTCTTCAAACGAGGCTTACGAACCGTAGTATTAAACGGTAGGCAGCGGCTTGGCTTTGCCCCTGGCATTGCTGACGTCCATGAGCGACGGTAACCACTCACCGTCAGGTGGGCCGTATGCTCGTCTGCCTATACGGCAATAAAAAATATTAAAAAAGTCAGCGGTAGCTAACGATTTGGTTGTTGACATTATTGACGTCTATGATCGTCGCTCAATCACTTACCATCAGGTTGACCGTACACTCGTCTGCTTACAAGAACAATAAAAACATAAATAATAAAATAAAATAAATCGTTGAGTTATTTAGTTTATCTAAGTTCAGAACAGTCGTGCAGTAAATAAAGAAAAGCCCAAAACTTCGTATCTTCCGTTAAAGCTTGAGTGTTGTTAAAAGTTCAGGATGCCGGGATCTATCAAGTTTTGATAAGTCTTGGATGTGATGGAAAGATCGGATTTTATCGGAGTAAATGAATATGGAAAAAGACAGCTCTCTTTGTTTGCCGAGTGCCAGTTTTTCTGTTAATTATGTTTTTTTTTTTATTCCCTTTGTAGGCAGACGAGCATACGGCCCACCTGATGGTGAGTGGTTACCGTCGCCCATGGACTTCAGCAATGCCAAGGGCAGAGCCAAGCCGCTGCCTACCGCTTAATACTCTCCACAAGCCTCGTTTGAAGAAGGACATGTCATAGCGCTCGGGAAACACTTATGTAAGTCATCTCCACATTTCTTGTGCTTAGATGGGTGAAAGAGTTCACAGCCCACCTAGTGTAAAGTGGTTACCGGAGCTTGTAAAGATCTACAATGTAAATGCCGCCACCCACCTTGAGATATGAGTTCTAAGGTCTCAGTATAGTTACAAAACACACGGTTACAATTTTTTTTTTCTAAATATATCTACGTGTATATCATGTCAAATTATATGTAAACGGGTTAAATCTATTTACTGGATCTATAATTTTATATAGTAATGTATTAGTAATGTAAATATATTTGCTATATTTATCTTTTCCAGAATTTCTGTAAATTAAACGGTTGTCTGGAGAGATCGCTTTTAGCGATAAGAGCGTCTATTGTAAAAATGCATCTGCTTCTTGACTGTTTATTAATGTTAATTGTGTTGGTTGGCAATAAAGTGTATTATGTTACTTTTGACGACGCTTGTAGCTAAAAGTAAGTATTGTACTTTTTGACGAAACGTGTTGCGGATAATAATATGTACTTTTAGGTTATTAAACTACCTTTCATTTTGATTTAATAAATAAAATAATACTTCTATAAAGTGTATAATCTGTCTCTCCCTCTCTCTCTATCTCTCTGTTTGTTCGCCCACAGCTCTCGAACTAATTCAGTTTTAGTGAAAGCAATTAAAGTTAACAATTTTGTATTAAAAACTTTACATATTTAGATTGGCCGTTTTTATGTACATCGTGTTTTTTTTTATTGCCCTTGTAGGCAGACGAGGATACGGCCCACCTGATGGTGAGTGGTTACCGTCGCCCGTGGACTTCAGCAATGCCAGAGGCAGAGCCAAGCCGCTGCCTACCGCTTAATACTCTCCACAAGCCTCGTTTGAAGAAGGACATGCCATAGCGCTCGGGAAACACCGTGGAGGGGAGCTCATTCCATAGCCGGATGGTGCGTGGCAAAAAAGACCTCTGGAAACGCACTGTCGATGAACGCAGCGGTTCCAGATAACATGGATGAACTCTGCTCCGATGGCGGGAGGTGCGGTGATAAAAAGGAGATGAGGGATCATCTCAAACGTAAACTATCTTCAACTTAAACATAGACTTAAACAATAACACGGTCAATACCCGACGTGCGATGTCACACTGATACCTGTAGCCGCATTTCAAAACTATAATCCTGCAGTACAACTTCGCTTAAGAGTACAGAAGCCATATATTTTCAACGCAATAAAACGTTTCCAACTTATTTCCTTAGTGCATACCGTCTCAGTCGTAAAATCGGGACGTGTCTTGTTCCGAGCCGCGTATACTTTAACACAATTTAATTTAAGGTTTTCGATATTGTTTCGTCTACAATAAACAGTCTCTTATTAACTTTGGTATTTCAATTCGGAGCTGGAATGAGGTTAAATGGGCAAAGATAGTTTAGCTCATTAAAATATGTTTTTTTAGGAAATACTTCTGTTTGGAAATGTTAGGATGATACAACTTAAGATTGAGAGTCACTTAAATTCAGGTGGTTTGTGTTTCAAATAAAGTTTCAACAATAAAATACGACTTCTAAAATAGACAAATTATTATTAGACTAGCCGACCCGGTAGACTTCGTTGTGCTTCAATTGATAAATAAAAGACCTAAACTTTTGTATAAAATAAACTTAAAACAAACAAAAGGAATCCGTCCGACGGGGGACACATCGTAGGAAAAACAAAATTGTTTGTTTTTATATAATTCCGAGCATTTTCATATTTTTTAAACCTTCTCTGAACTTCCGCGAATAGTTCAAGACCAAAATTAGCCAAATCGTTCCAGCCGTTCTCGAGTTTTAGCGAGACTAACAAACAGCAATTCGTTTTATATATACATAGATTAATTGAAAAAAGCCTTAATTGGTATTTTTATAATCTTCGATTCGACTAAGAGAAGTCGGCAGAAAGCTGAAAGGCTTGCTCTTTCCCAATATGGCTACATAGGGGGACGATATAAAATAACCATGAACAAACTCATCTAGACCCCTGTCTATATTACTAAATGCTGATCAAAGATTCGTTGCTGTTTAGAACGCAATTTCAAACTCACACGATATTTTCATAGTGTATCAACGAATAACACCCCTTCAAGCTTTACACACACAAACTCATTTTTCCCGCTACGAAAAACATCCTACACCGTGTTAGGATCACTAAGGAAGCTCCAAAACAGTCCATTGACCGTTCGACATTACATCCGATGATCTAACACGTAATAGAACCCTGGCTTGACTAAAGACTCGTACATACCCCCGTTATTAGAACGCTTCGATTTTTTTTTCTGTAAACGGAAACTTACCCAACGCTTAAACGTTAATATGAAAGGAAAATAACAAGCTAAGTTAAGCATCAAGGTCGTTTTAGTGTTTCGTGAATGCGCAATTTAGAGTGAAGTACCTACATAGATAACGGTCACTTCCTTTGTCATATAAAATGGTTTATCCGACGCGTCAGCTGAATTTCGGTAACTAGGGACTCTAATCTAGTCAACCGAGAACTATAATCTGTACATAAAAATATAGATTAGTTTTTTTTATATTTATTTATTTAGTCTAGATTCTTTTCTTTTCTCTCCTTGTCTTTTGTTTGGTACATAACTATTGACATAGATAACTATAATTCTTGAGTTATTCATTTATTTGTCGCGCAGGTACTTAATGCAAATTTAAAACTTATATGGTTTTCTCGTAGATACCATTATCAGAACTGGACTAAATAGTAATGGGACCACACGAGAAGCGTCAGCTTTCTAATAACAAAAAAATGTATCTACAAAATCGATTCACCCAGTCAAAAGTTATGAGGTAACAAACATAAAAAAAAACATACAGTCGAATTGAGAACCTCCTCCTTTTTTGAAGTCGGTTAATAATTGTTTAGAGGTCTAGCAAGTCAACAAAAGCCAGCTATGAAGCAGTTTTTTGACAACATTATGTAGTTTAGTGAGCAGGTGCTACTTCCATAATATAAACAAAAGACGCTGCATAAATCGAGACAGGTGTGCGCGTGCCCTAAGCGAGACTTGAATTTACGAATGACAGTATTACTTGCACCTGAGCCCGGGGCTTGTGTCCGTAAGAACAACGCGATAATATATTTTTTTATTTAATTAAGAAATTCTAGTTATATCACTGAGGTTCTTTTTTTTAAGTAATGTTTTTATATTTTTGTGAATTTCTTCGTTATGTACGAAATCATTTACGATAGTGAAAAACATTGCTTATATCGATTATGGTTATAGTTTCAGTTGCGGAACAGCTATACCCACCCTCCGAAGTAGAGCTATCGTAGAGCTTCACTCAGATGCTTTTTTTTTCCTACCTAAGCTGATAGCCTTGAGAGGCTATTTCAGCGTAACCTTAACTAGTAGGTGAGCTCGCGGGGCTCAAACCGGAGTGATGCTAACACTGGCCCTTGCAAAAGCAGTGCTTCGCAGAATCTACCACCGAATCAAAAACGCGACCCACTGAGAAGAAGAAGAAAAAGGGTCGTCGTACCCCCTTTCGGGGGCACGGAACGGGCCTCGGGGCAAACCCCACTACCCGGGACGGAGCTCCCTGCCACATAGGGCAGGGGTGACATAGATGCTGGACGAGATGGGGGAGGACTGTTCGCAGCGTGTATACGGTTGCATAGCATCGACAAAACATATATACTTATACATAATACGATGGGCGATATGATAATACGATTTTTTTTTTTTTTTTTTTTTTTTTTTTTNTGGCTGTGGGTCAACTACAGATTTTGAAGACGAAGTTTGTTAATCTTAAGCTAAATGACTTTGAAAATGGCTTGGACTTAAAGTCGAGGGATGATATGCAGATAGAAAGGCTGAGAAAGTATCTGACGCATTACGAGATCATTCTAAAGTGAGTACATAAAATCTGATATTTTAATTGAAAACCGCAAGTAATTAATACTCTATATGGAAAAAAAGGAAGATAGGTTGCGTTTTTTGTTACTGATTCTCAACAAAATAGTCCTGAAATAAATACGTGCCAAAATGTGTATTTTACTAATTGGATATAGTGTTTCAATCCCATATTTAAAAAGGAAAAGAAGGAAAAAGAAGGCTAGAAAAATTCGATTATAAATAACCGATAATTACACTTTTACTTAACATTTGCAATTAATTGTATGTATTACATTTTCTCTACCCTTGGTTTTGTAGTTTTCTTTTTCTTTAAAAAAAAAAACAGACAAACAGACAACTTGACAAACAGAGGAAAAAAAGGCAATGAGCTGTTGTCTTTGCCTGCTTAAATAGGTTTAGTGTTGGTCGTTAATGCTTGTTTAACTTCGAAAACGGATACAAATGGTCAATACCATGTAAACAAATTGTGCTAAATATTAGGAAGGAGGAGGAAAGTTTATACCAAATATTATTAACAGGTACTGCGCCATTGTCCAGGATATACTAAACATAACGATATTTGTACAATTAGGAATGTCGTCAATTGTAATCTGCGTCGGATTATGTGGATTTGTTGCAATGGTAAAATTTTATGAATAATTTGGTATTATTGAATATTTACAGATATATTTAATTATATTAACGTGTATTTGATTCTTGTAGTAGCTATTATGAATTATTATTATTTACAAGTCCCGACGGGTAAACATCATAACTCGGACTATTTTTGCGCCAAGCAATCCTACTCGAAAGGTGGGATGGCCTATAATGAAATTGCAATAGAATACTTGATCTCAAATCTCAAGATGGGTAGCGGTATTCTTATTGTCATTGATGCCGATAGGCTCCGTTACCACCTTAAGAGGTGGGTCAGAAGCAACAATAATATGTAACAATAATATTTTCAATGAAATAGATCAACTCGTAACTCATTCGTATTTATTACTAATACGCCATACTACCATTGAAATTCTCTGTCTATAGTATAACACTCAGTTGTATGTACTATAGACAGAGACGTAATGGCGAAATACCGCATACACTGGACAAGAGAGTGGGCCTTTCGAGGCCACAATTACATCATTTTTTTTATAGCCTTCAAATACGGAAACAGCAATTTTCATGTTCAGCTACTTAACAACAATGACTATGCAAATTTTTGTACCGTCTTGGATGGGAACTCAAATCAGTTTTGAGGTAACTACATTTTTTTTTTCAATTTTTACTTGTAGGACCTCAAAAGTTCTCAAGTGGCGACCTCGTACCGGAAAGCGCAACGTGGGTATTCCTCCCAAGAGGCGGACCTGCTAAAAGTCGCGGGAAGACTGCTTATTATGGCGATTCTTGGAGAAGTCCTTTGTCCAGCAGTACGCGTCGGTGGATTGAAAAAAAACTGTAGGATCTCGATGTTTCTTATTTGTCTAGCACTTTCTCCAAAAGTATACGATTCTTTAAAGATAGTGAGTACAGTCACGGCTAACGACAAATTTGTTTTGTTTATTAAAACCATTTTATATAAAATCATCATTGGGACATTGATGGTTCATACTTTAAAGCTTTTGAATAATCTATATTGGCTTAAACTTTGTTGCTAAAATCTTCAATTTATTTAATGGCCAAGAAGATGATTTTTTATTCTGAATTGAATAAGCAGAACGAACGAAGCAGAATTTAGTAGAGTCGTACATTTTATTTCCTTACTTTAGTCACTTCGTCAGTCGAGTAGTTGCTGATCCTCATTACAGGAGAAACTCCGCAGGTTCGACTCCTGGTAAGAGTCACTATCTTGTAAAATATTTTTGGTGTTAATTGTTTGATTATGCTCCTAAGTGCATAAGTATTGCTTGCAGTGTATATTTGTAGTACTTTTATTGCATATACGTATGCTGAACGAGCCCACGGCTCAGAAGCTGTTTCCTTGTCGATGCCCATAGATACCATAATGTGAATGCTGCCCTCCACCTTTAGACACGAGGTTAAAGTATCAATTGTATAATATGTAAAGTAATGTTATTATTACATGAAATCACCTTTCGTTCTGAATTTACTTAAGTAAAAGTCTACAGAAATTATATTAGATTACAAGTTTAGGGTTAAAACGAATAAAATGAAAAACGGTCACAAAGAAGTATATTTTTTTACCACATACACATGTAATCGGAGTATTCAATATCAATGAGCCTTTCAACAAAGTACACATTAATTTTTTTTAGTGTGGTGAACTAATGTCAGCGGCTTACAGCTGCGAATGGATACCAAGATCAAAATTGTTTAAGCGCAGCTTGATACTGTTCGTCGAGAGAGCCAAAACACCAGTCAGAATAACAGGTCTCAAAATATTCACATTGAGCTTGGACACTTTTACTTCGGCAAGTTCTACACTTTTTCAAATAGTGATTCTAGTTTAATTAATTATGGTACAGGGTCAAAATTATTCTAATCTTTTAATTTCAGATTATGAAGACAACTTATTCATTCTTTACTCTCATTAGACAATTGCAAGTTGACGAAGTAAACTGAAAAAAGCTGTCTACAAAATATATATTTTTCTGTTTTTTTAATGGCCTCGATTGTAAGCCTTTAAGCCAACAAAGAGACACTTGAAAATTATGTAGATATAGCGAATCTTATTCAAATTAACTTAAATCATTATTTTTGTGACAAGTAAATGATTTAAACATTTATATTAAAAAAAAGTAATAATAATAATCCTGCACTTCTCACGACACAGCTTATGAGGTGGATAATCTATGTATCTATACTGTATTTTATGATCTATGGTTGGTTTGTCGCAGATTTTACTTCTAAATGGCGTCATATAGGTAATGAAAATTTTGAAAATTAAGAACTTAGTGTGTTCTGTATTCACAGGTGAATTAGTGTAGTTGCACTTTGGCTAATAAACACTAATTTATTTTGTAACATGCACTATGTTTCTGTTTCTTTAGTATTAAGACAAATTGTAAGCTTCAAGTTAGCGCTGTAATCTGAAACATAGGCATTAGAACTTAAACAAATGTAGCGTAAAAAAATGTTTTTAATGCTGAATACATATTTTTGTTATGGGAATGATTTCATGTTTTTATTATGAAATCAAGTAAANTAACATGTACTTTGTTTCTGTTTCTTTAGTATTAAGACAAATTGTAAGCTTCAAGTTAGCGCTGTAATCTGAAACATAGGCATTAGACCTTAAACAAATGTAGCGTAAAAAAGAAATGTTTTTAATGCTGAATACATATTTTTGTTATGGGAATGATTTAATGTTTTTATAATGAAATCAGAAAATTAATTACGCGAAAACGCTTGAATGTACTAATCGCTAATCACTTGAATATACTATATTTATTATAAATAAATCAATTAAATAGCACTAGGTGATGGAAAAATAATCGAGTGTTTATTATTTCTGTTCATTTTCCTAATTCCTATTTAATTATTCTATTGTTATGACTACGATCTTATGGCTCCTCTTCACAATCGGCCATGATGGGCCAACAAATGATCGTCCATCATCGCCGCCATGATCGCGCAACTCTCCACACAATCGTGAACGTTCATTTACTGACTGTCTACTGATATGTTAAGACGTCTAGGTATCGATGATGGAAATCGAGGAGAGCGCGGCTGCGGCAATATTTTTAGTTAGCTCAAATATAGTCATTTAGATAATGCGTGCGAAAAAATAATCGTGAAAACTTTTTTTATTCCCCTTGTAGACAGAAGAGCATACGGCCCACCTGATGATGAGTGGTTACCGTCGCCCATGGACTTCAGCAATGCTAAGAGCAGAGCCAATCCGCTGCCTACCGATAACGATAAACAAGATGGAGGAAGAGAAGGTGGTGGGTGGTGGCTATCAATCGGAACAAAACAAGGTCCACGCAACCGTAGTTTTGTAGTCGACACAATTGACACACACTTGAGACAACTACATCCTGACTAATCGGCGATGGTGTGGACGCTCACACAATCATGGGTCATCATTCCTTTGATCTACCGACACAACGCCGATTGCGCACGATCATACGCGATGATGGCCGATCACACACATTTATGCCCTCTACACTATCGTGAGTTTCTATAATCGCCCATCATGGCCGATTGTGAAGAAGAGCCTGTAAAGCGGGAATGAATGCAACGAGCTCTCTTTACAGAGAAGGAATGAATGCAACGAGCTCTCTTTACAGAGAGCTCGTTGCATTCATTCCCGCTCGCAACGTCGTCTAGTGCAGACGTGTTTCCCGAGTTGTCGACAAGACTACGCGCGCACGCCGCCGCCGTGGCACCTAACGCCCTCTCCTACCCTGCGCCCGCGTCGCTCACATCGATTTCGTCCATCGCAATTTAATCGCGTCTAGTTAGGCTCCGATACCGAATCGGAGATGGACTTTGGGTCCGCGTCGAGCCCACGACCCGAAACCTCGGATTCGCACACCCGCGTCGTCGAGTCCCGGAATTCCACCATAAAACAGTCAAAAACCGAGAACGCCTAACGACTGCAAGTAGTCGTAACGCCGGAATTCGACTCTGCCCGCCGCGACCAAAACGCGTGACCGCGCCAAAAATCGCTGCAATCGTACGGACGCAATTCGTAGGTCAGCAACCCCCGAGCAGCGTATTCGATCATATGGACGTCTATGAGTCCGTATCCCGCAAGCTGTAAATTTAAATCGATAATCAATGGCACAAAATGGACGTGAAAAACCTTTTCTCTTAAATTAGTATTTTACAATGCTAACAGACTCGCGCTGCAACGCGATCAAATATACGAATTCCTCCGCGCCAATCTGATAGACATTCTACTAGTGCAGGAGACCTGTTTTATGCCCTCGCGTCGTGACCCGAAGTGACGCGAGTTACGTCATGGTTAGGAATGACAGACTCACCGCCCCTAAGGGTGGGACTGCCATTTACGATAGGCGTGCCCTGCACTGCGTCCCTTTCGATACTTCCACGCTCTCACATATTGAGGCGTCGGTGTGCCGCATCGCACTGACGGGACACCAGCCGATCGTCATCGCATCCGTTTATCTCCCCCCTAACAAGCCCCTCCTGAGCAGTGACATCGAGACAATGCTCGGTATGGGAGACTCTGTCATCCTGGCAGGTGATTAAAATTGCCACCACACTAGGTGAAACTGCTATTGGACAAACTTAAACGGTAGGTGTCTCGGCGCATTTAAAGACGACCTCACATTCGACATAGTCGGCCCTCCACCCTCAACATGTTATCCGTATGACATCGCACTCCGTCCGAGTACAATAGACCTGGCACTGCTTAGGAACGTAACTCTGCGCTTAGGCTCCATCGAGGCATTTTCAGAGCTCGAATCAGACCACCGACCTGTCGTTATGCAGCATGGTCGCCCCCACAACCCAGACTAAGTCACGAGGACCATGGTGGATTTGAAGAAACTGAGCACCGACTTAGCTGATGCCGCTCCACCAATCTTCCACTACGGCCCGGATTCAAACCTATCCCCCGAGGACACCGTCGAGTCCATAAATATTCTGACAGAACACATATCTTCTGCGATCATAAGATTTTCCAAAAAAGTCGATGTGGAGGACTGCTTCCACCGCATCAGACTCTCCCCCGAGCTTAGAAATCTCTTAAGAGTTAGAAACGCGGCAGTCCGGGCCTACGATCGATATCCCACGGAATCAAACCGCATTCGGGTGCGTCGTCTACAGTGGGAAGTCAAATCCCGCCTAAACGACGCCCAAAATGAGAAATGGGATAGTTATTTAGAAAATCTCGCACTCAAGCATACTAGCGACTAGCTAGGACCCTCAATTCCGAAACCATTGTTACTATGCCTCCTCTCGTACGCCCTTCAGGCCAAGCGCCAGCTTACGATGAAGATGACAAGGCAGAGTTACTGGCTGATACACTGCAAGAGTATGAGGAACTTATAGTGGATGAGGAGAGCCACAGACCAGGCTCAGTGGTGTAGATTGGGAGAGGCCTATGTCCAGCAGTGGACGACTATGGGCTGTTGATGATGATGATGACACTGCAAGAGCAGTGCACTACCAGTACACAAATCGCGGACCCGAAACACACCAAGTTAGTCGATAAGGAGGTCGAGCGCCGAGCTTCCCTGCCACCCTCGAACGTGTTACGCCCCATTCTCACAAACGAAGTAGAAGAAGCGATCTACAACTTTTTTTTTTCGGGCCGGGGGCCGCTCCTCCTACGAAGTCCCGGCGCCTAGGCGGCGCGCGGGGTATATGGGACTCAGCGGTCTGCAAGGTGTTGGAAGCAGACAGCGGGCCCAAGGAATTTTAGGGCCCACCCACTAAACGACTCCCCTGCACTCTTAGACCCGACGTCCGATCTCCTCCGAGGCTAGAACCCGGATGAGGTAGGGGGGTTACAGCGGTCAACACTGCAACCAGACAGCGCAACTCACCCCAAGGACGCCCGGCCGACGGAGCCTTCGAGGCGAATCGAAGGCTCTGAAACGTCGGCCGTCTCGGTACGGCAGCGCCCAGACGGTGCCGCTGGTGTCCCGGAATACCCTGCTGGACCAGAACCAGCCTGCCAGGTCGGGACGCGATACACCGCCAACCGGTTTTTCTATTATAGATACTCCTTGGCAGCGCGCCAGAGTGCTGGTAGCGCGTCGCGCGGCCTCTACCACTTCAGGTTGGCCCTTAATCTTCACCGGGAGGAGTTCGCCACTTACAGGGGCCGGGGTCGGGCAAAAGCCCTTCTGCGGCCCCCGGCTCGGCGGTGACGGATAGGTGCGGAGAGGGATGAGCTTTCCCTCTCTCATTTCGCCGCCTCCTTCTGCGAGATGGTATACTCGCAAAAGTCGAGCATCGCCTTCCAGGACTCATCGCTGCCGAGCATCGTAGCCACTACAGTTGGCAGCGATAAGTGCGGTCCTATTTGCGAGACAAGGACACGGCGTTGCTCCAGCCATGCGGGGCAATGTGCGAGCGTATGCTCGACCGTGTCCTCGCCGCACTGGTGGTGGTGACAGTGGTGACACTCCATCGTCGGTTCCCTCCGGGCGATGCAATGCAGGTACCCGCCGACACATCCATGGCCTGTAAGCATTTACTTCAACCGGAAGGTGACTCGCCCTTGGTCACGGTTCGCCCATTCCGCAAGGACCGGGCGCACCGCCTCGACGGTCCGGAGGCCGGCCGACGAGTTCGCCAAGCGGTGAGACCAGGCCTCCAACACAGACCGCCGAGATTGGAGCCTCCGCGCTCTAATTGCTCCTTCTCCGGGACGTGGTTCCCCGCTATCGCGAAGGTCACATCGCCACGCATAATCGGCGGCGAGTGCCTCCGCCTCCAGGTCCCGAAGCGATCTACAACCTACAACCTAGAAAAGCAAATCAAACCCGCAAAATTATAATTTGCGTAATTACTGGTGGTAGGTCCTCTTGTGAGTCCGCACGGGTAGGTACCACCTCCCTGCCTATTTCAGCCGTGAAGCAGTAATGCGTTTCGGTTTGAAGGGTGGGGCAGCCGTTGTAACTATACTGAGACCTTAGAACTTATAGTGGTGGTATATTTTTTTTTTATTG